TATGTGTATATGTATACGTATGTATATATGTATGTATATATGTATATATATATGTATACGTATGTATATATGTGTATATATATATGTGGAATGGAAAATGGAAAATAATGGAGAGAACAAGATATGAGTTTAACATTTACTTCTAAATATATAATATGATATGATATATTATAACTATATATTATAATATAATTATAATATATAAGATAATTATTAATTATAATACATAACAAATTTGTTTGATGATCTGAAACATTTAAGTGTGACAAACATGCAAAAAAATAAGAAATCAGGAAGGGGGCAAACACTTTTTCACACAACTTATACTTCTCCCTTCCATTGGTCCCAGTTTTAAGTGTTCGTTTCTTTTTCGTCCACCAGATGGCGCCCTACCAGAGCGTCAGACCTTTCAGGCTCGGCCAATCAGAGCATCTCTGTGGACTCGCTGGACTCTCTGGCAGAGCTCAGGGGTGAGGTGCATGCTGGGAGTTTGAGTTGTTTGGCGCTGGGAGGGAGAACGTCTCTGCAGAAGAAGAAGAAGAACTCATCTTCTTCTGGTTTGGACCAGACGTTGGAGGACGATCTCGTGTCTCCGTCATCGGCGATGCCATCGGTGATGTCACAGAGGAGGCGGACCCTGGACAGCAGCAGCAGCCAGATGGAGGACGTGAGAGAGAGAGAGAAGAAGAGATGGAGAGAGACGAGAGGGAGGAAGAGGAGAGACCTTCATCTTCATCTGAAGAGACCTTCAGGCACCACGGAACCTAGTGAGGAGATTGATATATAATTAATATATGAATATTATATTAATAATAATATATACAATAATACATAATTTCTCTCTCCTTCCTCAGTTGTTCTGTCCAGTGAAGAAGAGGAAGAGGTGGATGAAGGAGAAGGAGGACACAGAGTGGAGGAGGTAGGAGAGCTTTCAGCCACATCTCCTGGTCTTCTTCATCATCTGATAATAGTCTTCATCATCTGGTCCTCATGACACAGTTTCTAATCAGATGAGCTCAAAGTCTTTGTTTTGATTTCCAGACTTCCAAAGAGGAAGAAGATGAGAACAACCCTCCTCCTCTTCCTCCTCCTCTTCCTCCTTTCCTTCAGCTGGACTTCAGCTCTCTTCACGCTGGTCTGATGAACGCCGACTCCAACGGGACGATGACGGTGAGGAATCAAACCTGCAGGGTTCCGTTATTGTTGTTCTTATTATATGAAGAATAAGAAGCTGATTGTTTTCATGTTTCTTAGATCACTGAGAACGGCCTCATTATTCCTCTGAAAGGTAACGTTACTGTTTTATATGTTTTACATATATAATATATATATTTATAAATGTATGCAGTTAGTTACGACTTTGTTTGAGAACATATTTAGACTTTTATAAAACGATTTGTTGATCAGGTGTTGAGGACGGTGAGGTTGCCGTGGTGGCGTCTCAGGTTCGGGGTTACGGTGTCTGGGACGGGGGCGTGGCTCAGGGAGGGTTCCTATTGGCTGGTTGGGAAGGTCCCGCCCCCTCGTTGCTCTTTCTCTGGGTGACTGATGCTCAGGCCAACCTACTGCAGAAGGAGCTGTCCACCATCCAGATGTCCACCACATCAGGTACTCACACTTCAACCAACTCCTTTCAATATTTTACCCTCAGCAGAGACTTCCTGCTCCTCCTGTCAATCACACGTTAAGTTAACGCTTCAACTCCTTTCAGTGCTTAAACTTATGGGCACTTTCAACTGCAATTCAACTTAGTGTTTGCACAAACTTTTATTTCCACTTCATTCAACACGTTTATCATAACCGTCACTTCTGCTTCCTTCAGTTTTTACTCTCAAGCTTTCTTACATTTTACACTTACACTCCTGTCAACACTTCTTCCTCAACGTATCATGTACACAGTAAAAGTAGTGAGAGTAGTTGAAGTGGTTTCCATCTTTCAGCACTTTCACTTAAATTCCTTTCAGCACTTCATTTTCTTAAATATATTCGTCCCACAAAGACCGTTTTTAAAACGATAAACTCTCGCTTCAGTTCCCTTCATGTAGTTTTTCTGACACATTTGAGCCTGAAAACAGAAAACAAGCTTCTGTGTGAACAGTTTCCATCATCACTGTTTCCGCACAAAGAGCAGTGAATCATGAGGAGGTCTCACTCTGAGCAATAAGTACGTGTCTGTGCAACAGACATTGGCAATAAACGGTTTCTGATAAATCTCATCCCAAACCACAACGAAGGAAAAACACTTCTACAGACTAGAAACTGATTGAGGGCCAGTGGGTAGGAAGGTGTTAATATGTCCTCCTGGTCCTTCAGGTCCGGCATGCTCCTTCCTCCTGCTGGTGCTGAAGGAGCAGCTGCTGGAGCTCCAGGCCGCCCTGCTGGCCTCCATCCTGGACATGGAGGACTACAGGAAGGGCTCCTCTTCCTCTTCCGGGCCGACCTCCCCTCTCGAGTGGACCGACGGGCTGCTGCTCCTCCACAGTTGTCCTCCTCCTCTGGACCAGCACCTCCTCGGACTGCTGGGTCACTCTGCTGTAAGACTCCTTTCTGTCCTCTTTTATAAGCTCATCTCTCTCTCAAAGTCTGAAACATCAAAACAGATTAATCTCTTTCAGGTCAGAAACAACCAGAAGAATAAGAAGTCAAACCTGAACTCTTCAGGTCTGCATCAGCTTCCCACCAGGTAACGCCACCTGGACCGGGTAACGCCACCTGGACCGGGTAACGCCACCTGGACCGGGTAACGCCACCTGGACCAGGTAACGCCACCTGGACCAGGTAACGCCACCTGGACCAGCAGCTAAAGTAACATGGACAGGATTGAACCCTCAGCATGTGGTCTTCAGGTTGATCCAGTATCCGGCGGCGCCCTCTAAAGGCCGGATCACGGTGACGAAGGAGGACCTGGCCTGTCTGAGTGGGGGCGAGTTCCTCAACGACGTCATCATCGACTTCTACCTCAAGTCAGTCTGTCAGAAGGAAAATCAATAAAGTTTTTTTTTTTCACCAGCAGGGGTCAGAGTCCTGAACCGTGTCTTCCTCCTCCTGCAGGTTCCTCCTCCTGGAGGGAGTCGGCGGCTCGGTGGTCGAGCGGAGTCACGTCTTCAGCAGCTTCTTCTACAAACAGCTGAGCCGCCGGAGAGCCGCCGGAGTCGACGACGCCCCCTCTGTCCCGTAAGAGTATTAGTTTTACCTGAAGATATTTATTCACATTTTTTGGAATATTTACGTCACTTTTGGTGTGAATTTCCGACCATTTTTGTGCATCTTTGGATTCTTTTGTCAGGTAGACTTTGATATGATAAATATATATTAAAACATGTTTACCAGCTTGTTCCTCTAGATTTTTTCGCATCTTAAATCGTCCTCTTTTTCTTTTTTCACAATCAAATCTTTAGAAAATAAAGAAAAAGGTCAGACTTAACGCAGACGACACGCTCTTATTGGTATCAGCTCACAGAATGCAATAAATCTTTTAAAAACGTTTTATTCCTAAAATACATAGAGTGAAGTCGCTCTTTATTGAGTCTCTTCTTCATGTGTCTTCATGTCTCTGCTCAGCGATCGTCACATGAGACATCAGAGGGTGAAGACGTGGACTCGCAACGTTGACATTTTCACCAAAGACTTCCTGTTTGTGCCTGTCAATCAAGAGTAAGGACATTTTTTTTATCACTTTGTTGAAAGTGGAAGTGAGTCTTAACCTTCTGTGTATAATTGCATTCCATCTTGTGCAACATTTGCACCATCTTGTGCATGTTTGTGTTTAACTATTGTGATTCTTGGCTTCTTTTTGTTCACTGAAAATAAAAGTCAGGTTTTGTTTCGGGACTGAAACATTTAAAATGACACTCGGGACATCGTTGTTGGTTATTTACTGTCCACTTCCTGCAGATGTTTCACAATAAGAGTCCTCTCCAGTAAGAATCGGTGATGGTTGTGTTGTGTCGACAGAGCTCACTGGTACCTGGTGGTGGTTTGCTTCCCCGGTCTGGAGGAGGTTCAGCACCAAGAGTTTCAGAGTTCAACAGGTTAGCTGCTTTTTACTTCCTGTTCACCTGAAATGATTGACTGTCGTCCTCTGAAGACACTGAGAAACCTCTACTTTGTTTTTACAAAGAAGGAAGTCTCAAAGAGAATCTGCCTATCACATTAAAAGCTTTACCATCATCAGGACCTTTATTGTGAAGCAGCTACAGGAAACAGATTCCAGGTTGTTGTTTGTGTCTCAGGTGGATCAAAGCAGCCTGCAGGTAAACCTTCATCCTTCAGTCTGAGGTCACAGCAGCCTCCGGTAAATATTCAGTTGTTATTATTATTATTATTATTATTATTATTATTATTATTATCCTAATCATGCTTTGTTTGTACATTTTTAACCGTTTTATTTCATATTTTCAATTATTCAATAATTTTTGCCATTTCTGCCCTTTTCTTGCCATTTAAAAATGTATTTTATGTTTACTTAACATTTGAATTGAAATGTATTTCATGTTTACTTAACATCTGAATTGAAGCCTCTTGTTATCTGTTGTTTCTTTGGAAATTCATTAAATACAACTGCAGTATTTGGGACATTTTTTTGTAGTTTTGAATTTATTTTCCATTATTTGCATAATTATTTTGCAACATCCTGTTTATTTTTACGTTTTATTATTGTGACATTTTTCACAATTCATTTACCATTTAGATGATTTGTTTTGCCACTTTTTGTGACATTTACGTGACAAGTTTGGCTTCTAGAAATAGAATATTATTAATAGTTACACTGATGTTAGAGAAGTCAAACCAGTTAGTTAGTTTTTTATTATTTAGGGACGGCACAGTTCAGAATATAAGGATTCAATCAGAATTCAACTTTAATCTGAAATGTGTCTCTTATTTTGTAGGAGTGCACTCTGCAGAGCTGGCAGAGGGAGACGGTGTTAAAGAGGTGAGTCTCAAAGAGACATTTAAAAGTACACATCCAGAGGAATGAAAACCTAATGAAGGACTTTCTCTTCTGGTTCAGACCGTGTGTCCTCGTCATGGACTCCCTGAAGCTCTCGTACCACGAGAATGTCTGCCGGCTCCTCAGAGAGTCAGTTTCTCTTCTTTATAAAATAAAAACTCCAAACATTTTAAAGTTCCAACGCTGTACAGGATGTCCTAACTGTCCCTCGTGGTCTCCAGCTACTTGCAGGTGGAGTGGGAGGTCCGGAGGGGGACACCTCGTCTCTTCACGGCGGACAGCATGAGGAGCTCCAGCTGCAGAGTCCCTCAGCAGGACAACAGCAGCGACTGTGGACTCTACCTGCTGCAGTACGTCGAGAGCTTCCTGCAGGTAAACGCACACCTGCTTCTAGCTCGGCCAAAACGGCTCCGGATATTTACACCATGCTGTGCAACATTTGCACCATTTTGTGCAACATTTACACCATTTTGTACATTTGCACTATTTTGCACCACCAACTGGTTCTTCTTCTAGTTTTGCAAAAACGTCTCCGGAGTCGAGTCGAGACTCGTTCAGACGCCCGACTTTTACAAAATAATGTTCTAATAAAGAAACCAGGACGTTTCCGTCTCTTCACACTAAATCCAGCTCTCTGATTGGCTCCCCAGAACCCCGTGGTCCACTTCGACCTCCCGTTGCGGTTGGACAACTGGTTTCCGCGTGAACGTGTCCGACAGAAGCGCGAAGAGATCCGATCTCTGATCATGACGATGCACCGGAGTCAGAACGGAGAGACCTGAAAACCAAAAAATAAACTTTTCATCTGTGCAATAAATAATTTATATTTTCTACGTCGTTAAAATGTTTTTACTTTAAAGAATTTAAAATATTATAGTCTAGCTTTTGTTTTGTGTGCATGTAAATAACTTTATACTGCAAATAAACTTGATAATTCTTTTTGATAAAGTTTTTTCATAGTGAGGTTCTTATTTTGAAACTTCAAACAGGATGTCAATTTGCGATTTTAATTTCTTACAGTAAATATTTATTATTAATTATGTTTAATAAACAGCAAACAAAGTGAATTAAATGTAAATAACTTTTTACTCCTTATGATCCTTGATTATTCTAATTATCAGCAAAGAGGGCTCTTATTTTGAAACTTCAAACAGGATTTTAATCTGGATCTGGATTTTTAACCTTGCAGTAAAAGGGAATGTAAATAACTACCTCAACGATCATAATTCTGTCTTCCTGTTTCATAAAATAAACCATATGTATTCACTCAGAGGAATGTGACTCTTAATTTGAAACTATTTTAAAGTGGGAATTGGCTGTCATATATTCACATTGAATGAAATCTGGATGTAATGATGTATTACTACAAGTACTAGTAGTAATACTGTGATGTCACTGAGTTACTATCAGTCTGATTGTTTCTCTTCTTACTATAAACTACACTCCTGTGGTGTGTGTGCGTGTCTATAACTGTGTATGTTTAATTCCCCCCCCCCCCCTGCTGAGGACCAATCAGTTTACAGCTCGTTAACTGGATCAGACTGGGTTGACTACGAGGCTGAAGGGGGTTTACAGACAAAACATCAGATAACTTGTGTCAACATGTTATTAGAATCATTCTCTGATCCTGGTCTGGCCCCGCTCTGGTCCTGTACTGGCACTGGTCCGGCCCCATGTTGGCTCCATTCTAGCCCTGGTCTGGCACCGTTCTGGCCCTTCACTGGCCCCGTTCTGGTCCCGGTCTGGCCCCTCTTTTGCCCCATTCTGGCCCCTCTCTGGTCCTGGTCTGGCCCCTCTCTGGTCCCGTTCTGGGCCCTCTCTTGACCAATTCTGGTCCCTCTCTGGTCCCGGTCTGGTCCCTCTCTTGCCTCGTTCTGGCCCCTCGCTGGCCACGGTCTGGCTCTGGTCCTGGTCTGGCACCAGGTAGTGATTGTTCATGTTTTGCCCTGGTGGCCGTAGGGAAGGTTAATCTGAGCGACGGGGGGGTCCAGATTAGACCGGTTTAGTTCTCCATGAATCCTCCATCCTGCTTCCCAAAAATAATCTGAGCCCTGCAGACTGAAAACTGATCCAGACTCTCTGCTGGACTCCGAGTCCTGAATAAAACCTTGTTTGTCTGGAAGAATTTCAACAGTTTAGTGTAGAAATACATTAAAACGATAATAATCCCAGTATTTAATTCAAATTTTAGTCGACTGGAGAACAAACGTTTATCTACGTTTCCGTTGATCTCCACTTAATCCCATTAACCGATAAAAGATGACAGCCATTGTTGACTGTGAGTCTGGACCAGGGCCAGGTCTATTTGTAGAGTTCAGTTTGAGACCTTTCATGTTTTCGTCAGTTTATTATTGATAATATTAATAGATGCTGATGACATGTTGTCTTACATAACTACTAATTGAAGGAAACAAGTGGGGGGGCATCCAGCTCCATCGTGACCTATGACCTCGTTAATGCTGAGCGTGACCTTGTAGGGTGTTCAGGTAATCCAGATCAGTCTGCCGTAACGACCACCTGGCCGACGGAGACTGTTTTATATTATTACAACTGTGTTTTACTGTGCTGTCACTTGTTTATATTACAGTTAAATACATTAATACACACTTATTAATCACACCATATAAAGCTCATATTACATGTTTATTTAGCAGCATAGTAATTTAAAGAGTAAATCTGGACACAATTGCATCACTTTCACAGGTGAATCATGGGTAATAACCTTTGTATTAACTTCATTATCTTTAAACTAAACTGTTGTATGTTTGTTTGATTGTCTTAAAGCAACAGTGACACTGAACTGAGACTGATCATCTGGTCATCCAGTCCAGCAGATAGTCATTCAGTCCAGCAGATTAACAAATCGGATTACAGGAAAGAGAAAAAAAAGTCCCATCTGCTCAGAGAGCAAACCAGCAGCTCGGAGACGCCGGACCCGTCCTCCAGTCTCCCGTCTCATTGGACCCGTCTTATTGGACGACTGAGAGACGGAGCTGATGAGCTGAAGACGAGGACAGACCAAGAAGAAGTTCTTCTGAGAAATGGCAGGACGGTTTGGGAGGTTGATGCTGTGGACGCTGGGAGCTGTGCTGCTGTCGGGACACGTCTACACAGAGACAGGTACACATCGAGCTATTAGTACTACTAAGGGATACCTGTGTTCAAAGGTTTTATTACTACTAACGGATACTTATACCTGTGTTCAAAGCTTTTATTACTACTAACGGATACTTATACCCGTGTTCAAAGGTTTTATTACTACTAACGGATACTTATACCCGTGTTCAAAGGTTTTATTACTACTAACGGATACTTATACCCGTGTTCAAAGGTTTTATTACTACTAATGGATACTTATACCCGTGTTCAAAGGTTTTATTACTACTAACGAATACTTTCTTCAAACAATGTTTTTATTACTACTAACAAAGTTTAACTTACTTAACTACTACTACTACTAATAGATACTTACACCTGTGTTCAGAAAGTTTATAATATTACCAACAAATACTTTTATCTGTGTTCATTGACAGGTTGTATTACTACTAACAGATACTTATATCTGAGTTCAAACAACACATTTGTATTATTACTAACAGATACTTATACCTGTGTTAGAACTACAGTAAAAATACCAATATGTGTGTGTCCTGTAAAAGTCCTGCAAGTGAAAGTACACAAGTATTATCAGTTTCATGTCCTTAAATTATCAGCTGAAAAGTACAACAGCACTATGAGCAGTAATAGTATTATCAGCAGTAAGAGTACAGCAGTACTTCTAGCAGTAAAAGTACTCTCTGGTTTTCCTCCAGATGCAGACTCGGAGGGACCTGGTTCACATCTGGTGGTTCAGTCGCTAGTTTCCGATCAGCTTCTTTACCGACGACACGCCGCTTTAACTCGGAGAAAAAGGAACATCTTGTTTCCCAGCGGAGTCAAACTTTGTACTCGGGAGACTTTCGACCAGGCCGTCAACAACCACCTGAAGTACTTTCATCTCAGAGGTACGTCAGTGGGTTCTGGTTCTGGTTCTGGACTTAAAGAGTGTTTTCAGAAACATGTTTGTTGGTTGAACACTCGGTGTTTCACCGAAGCCCTGATCCAAACTGACTTAGGAGCTTAAACTCTGTGTCTGCTGTCACTAAAGCAGCTGATCTCAGAGAGGTCAGGGGTCATTCAGAGACAGGTGAACTTTAAAAACACGTCATGTGGTCTCAGCTTCAGGAAACATCCCTTAGCTTTCAACTTTAAACAAGATCTGCTGTTATTTACAAAGATGGATCTACAAAACGTTAGTTTTCAGCTCAATGCAAACAACCTCAGGGAGTTTAAATAGATGTAGCTTCATGTGTAACATGTTAATGCTCCAGTATGTAACATGTGTTTCAGTGTGTCAGGAGACTGTGTGGGAGGCCTTTAAGATCTTCTGGGACCGGCTCCCGGAGCGGGAAGAGTACCAGCACTGGGTCCGTCGTTGCATAGACGAGTCCGTCAGCGTCAAGGACATCGGCAGCTTCTTCAGCCAATCAGAGGAACACGGCAGCCTCATCAGGAGTGTGAGCGTGTGAGCGTGTGTGTGTGTGTGTGTGTGTGTGTGTGTGTGTGTGTGTGTGTGTGTGTGTGTGTGTATGTGTGTATGTATATATGT